CAACAGTAACCTCAGTTAGTCACTCGACGATACGGGAAAATATGAAGCCAGTTAGATTATAATCATAACCAAGCGCTAAACCTATAAGGGTCATGCAGCTCTGTGAAGCCAGTCAGAAAAGTTATCTCATGGAAACCAGTACTGGAAATGATCATTATATAATTGATCAGAGGTCACCTGAACCTGTCACTTACTCTGCTAAACTAAGTAATAGCTGGCCAAGGTTGAAAATTTCAAGCCGATTGATTAGCGAAGGTCGGTGAGCCTGGGTAAATTACCCCAAATGGGGTTAAAATTAAAATCTCGGGGCTACTGAAGGCTCAGCAAACATGTAAATAAAATTGCACAAAATTTATTTTTTAATAAGTGAAGCAAATTATGAAACTTTTATTTTTCAAACAAATAATTCTTAGTTTCTTAATAAAACTAAAAATCTAATTTCTTAAGGTGGCAATAATGCAAACCGGTTAAGGATTCCAGCGGCTGGCAACACCTCGAGTGTCACATTGACTCGTGAGCATATAATATATACTTTTCAGCATGTATGATTGTATTCTCCATACAAATGGATTCAATAAACTATATTGAATTTTTATGCTCCTTGTGTTTTCTGGATTCTGTTGACTTTCAAGTTTAGTGGATAATTTTCCTGTACGCAAATTTGTTTTGGGGTAATCACCAAAGAAAGGTCGCCATCCTCTGGAATAAAGTGTTTGATTGGAAGGACAAAGTTATACTGTACGGTTCTAACATCACGCCGTATAGTATTTAAGGGCTCACTTAACTCAGGAAATTTAGACTGTGAAAATAAGTGACTTTTCAGTATTTATCAGTTTTCTTGTTTTTTTGCCTTGTGTTTACGTGGAGAGGATTGCGGGGGTCAACGCCCCCGCAGCCCGGTCTGAGACCAGGCCTAATGGTGGATCAGGTCTGATCAACCAGGCTGTTACTGCTGGCCGCACGCAAGCTGACGTACGAACAACACCCCTTTTCGTCAGATACTGACTTTAGCCAGGGGTGTATTGGTATTAATCCCCTCATGTATGCTGGGAGGCAATTGGACAGTCCTGGGCCCCGGACACTTATTGTGTTGTCTCTCAATGTACTCGTGGCGCCCCTGCTTTTCATTGGGGGAATGTTGCATCTCCTGTCGAGTTTTTTGCTTTCATAGGGAGTGATTTTCGTGTGCAGGTTTGGTGCCAATCCCTCCAGGACCTTCCAAGTGCATATTATCATGCATCTCTCTCGCCTGTGTTCGAGGGAATACAGATCAAAGACCTTCATCCGTTCCCAGTAGTTTAGGTGCCTTATCATACTTATGTGTGCCGTGAAAGTTCTTTGTACACTATCCAGGTCAGCAATGTCGTCAGCCTTGAAGGAGGCCGTTAGTGTACAGCAGTATTCCAGCCTAGAGAGCACAAGTGATTTGAAGAGAATCATCATGGGCTTGGCATCCCTAGTTTTGAAGGTTCTTATTATCCATCCTATCATTTTCCTAGCAGATGAGGTAGATATACTATGGTCTTTAAAGGTGAGATCCTCTGACATTATCACTCCCAGGTCCTTCACATTATTTTTCTGCTCTATTGTATGGCTAGAATTTGCCGTATACCCAGATACATTTTTAATTTCAAGTTTCCTACATCTGAGTAGTTGAAATTTCTCCTCGTTGAACTTCATATTGTTTTGAGTGGCCCAGTTGAAGATTTGGTTGATGTCCGCTTGGTGTCTCGCGGTGTCTTCGATGGAGGTCACTGCCATGGTAATCCGGGTGTCATTCTCAAAGGAAGACACAGAGCTATGGCTTACATCTCCATGTCAGAAATGAGGATGAGGAATAGAATGGGAGCTAGTACTGTGCCAGATGTAAAAAAAAAAAAAAAAGAAAAAAAAAAACGTCGTTTATTTTCTAAGATGATTCAGTTTGATAAAGATTCGAACGATTCCGACAAAAAAAATTACATCCACAACATTGTCTAGGCAATCTAAACTGAACAGGTACTAACTCGGCCACAAAATGTGTGTCATTAAACACTGAAGCCGTTTATTACGATCACAGGTAATAAATGGTATGTGAGACCTGGTCGTAATGAGATTTGTAGCAAACAAACAAGTAGACTATAATGTATATTTACCTTCACCCACTATACACAGGTATGTACACTATGTGCAGACAGAATAATAAGTGTACACCAAAGTAACAGATGACAATGCAGAAGCCAGAGAGAGTGCACTGTACTCGGTCAGCAGGTAGGCAAGTCTGCCAATGCTTACCGCAAGTGAACCATGTTGCTTCAGCTTTGGCCGGCTTGCCTGTGATTGGTCAAAGTACTGATTTAATAATGGGTACCGAATCGATCATTAAACCCTTATCACCCGGTTCATTGGTTGAGGGACAGTCTATATGGAAATGTGACCTACGCCGAATACTCTTTGCATGCCACACCATTCGTAAAGTGGTAGACGCGTATATTTTTGTTGTGATTAGACGGGAATAAAATTTTTACACACAAAATAGTCAAAATCTGCACCAACCTCTTTGAATTTCACTCTTCTCCACAGCAGTCGATTTAGGAGGAACATGTATTGAACGTTCGAAGCTGAGCCGCTGAGAGTTTTAGAAGTTACCTGAGCCATTGTAGGATGCTGGGAATGGGTTCAACTTCTCATAGAGCATCTGCATATGTGAATTGTTCTAGAGTCTTGATCTAGATACAATACACCATCTTTGATAATTTGAAGCCGATTGGATGAGGGGTTCTCGAGTCATGAACGAAAATAACATCTAAAATATAGGAAGAAGAAAAATATGGGAAAACAATTGCCAACCACATAAAGGTCTTCCTTCAGGTATTCCTAAAAAAATCAAACCTCACAATGAACAAAAATATTGCTACGCTCACCTACATTCATCTGATAGAGTCACCTCTTTGTGCCCGCTGACACATTTTTAAATAGATTATTTTTGTAGCGCATAGTAGCAATACTAATAAAAATTATGGTTTACCAATCCAAACTTTAACTCAGCTGAAAGAGAACAGCTACATCTTCTCACCTTCCCATTCTTCAGCGAAACTTGCCGTTTAATTTTCTTATCTCCTGTTTCCTTGAAATTTTTGATCTGCTTATAATTTCATACGATGGTGTGGGTGCCTCGGAGCTAATTTCATTCTGCTTCTCGTTTGGTTCACTAGCCTCCACAAGCAGTACACATATTATTGTAACCACGAGCATGTAGTACTTAATCAATAACAACACTGCAGCTAGTCGGGGGGTCGAACCTATGTTGTTTTAGCCTGGGAAGCGAGTGAAAGTTCATGACGCTGTAAACCACTGGACCATATAATCCTACAAACAAGATGCGCCTAGCAAACTAGGCTTGCTTCATGTTGGGAGGCAACCACACCATTGTACATCGCAGGGCCTCCCTCCTTATCTGTGCATATTTGTTTCTGGCTCTTCGACTAATCTCTGTATTTTCCAGGGTTCTTTGTCTTCTGTATTTTTTCCATTCTCTAGTGCACTTAGTTTTTGCCTCCCTACACTTTTGGGTGAACCAAGGGCTCGTTCTTGTCTTCCCATTATTTCTGTTTTCCTTGGGAACAAATCACTCCTCTGCCTCCTTGCATTTTGTTGTCACGTAGTCCATCGTTAATTTTACTGATTTTCCTACCAATTCTCTTTCCCATTGAATGTCTTTCAGAAAGTTCCTCATGCTTGTGTAGTCCCCCCTTTTGTAGTTTGACTTCTTCTGTCCTATTTCTGCTATCCATTCCACTTGTAACTCAACTATGTATACAATGCTCAGAATCACGTGATCACTAGCTCCGAGGGGCCTTTCGTATGCAAAGTCCTCGATGTATGAACTACTCAAGATGAATACCTGGTCCAGTCTTGCTGGATCATCCTCACCTCCCTCTCTGGTAGTGTCTCTAACATGTTGATGCATGAGGTTTTCCAGTACCACATCCATAATCTTGGCTCTCCATGTTTCGGGACCCCCTGTGATTCCAGGTTTTCCCAGTCAGTCTCTTTGTGATTGAAATCACCTATAGCTAGTATCTTTGTGAGCTCTTCTGGCCACCACAGTTAGTGTGTCACCTATTGCCTCTCCATATTCTTCTCTTGGTCTCCTTCAGTTCTGTGGCGGGTTGTACATCACTGCAATTACGACCTTAGGGCCCCCAGCCTGAATTGCGTGTGTGTGTGTGTGTGTGTGTGTGTGTGTGTGTGTGTGTGTGTGTGTGTGTGTGTGTGTGTGTGTGTGTGTGTGTGTGTGGTGGTGTGCTGTGTGTGTGTGTGTGTTTGGTGTATAAAGATGGAATATTTAACTCGAGCCATTCGCAAACATTATCGACTGTAATAAAGTTGGTAGAATTACCGACAATATATAAAGTAAAAGGACACAAGTGCAACTAATGTGACATTTTATTGTGGCAACGTTTCACTCTCCAGGAGCTTTATCAAGCCATATGATAAAGCCATTGATAAAGCTCCTGGAGAGTGAAACGTTGCCACTATAAAATGTCACATTAGTTGCACTTGTGTCCTTTTTCTTTACAACATTATCGACAAAAAAAAAAAACGTTTGAGGAAGACAAATACAAACAACTGAAGAACAACAGCCTGAACAAGAACGAATAATTGACATTTAAGTCGAGACGTTGACTCTGACGATGCTGGCAGCCTCCACACACTGATTGAAAAGTTTAATGAACAATGGAAAAATAAATCTATTGTGAAATACGTGATGAAAAGACGAGTCAAAAAAAGAATGCTTTAATGTTAACTAATGAGTGTATTAATTGGTTTATTGCAACGTGACTTCATGATTAATAAAGACCACTGGGTTGTACAAGACTGTATTACAATTCTTTTAAAGATAGGATGTTAGTGTTCCTTGTGAAATGGACGACGGATGTGGAAATAGTATTTTATGCAGTAGTTAGTGCGTGTTTACTCACAAGACGTCATGTAAAGATATTTTCTTTCAGGTGTTTATACTGAGTGTTTGTAACAGTGTGTGTGACACTCATGTATTCACTCGAGGCACACGCAAAGGATGACTTCCTGTGGTGACCTTGTGTGTGGCAGGTACTAGGGTGCCAATATGGCACCTTGACGCCCTCAGGGTGCCCGCGGGGCACGCTGCCCCCCTTGGCCTGCCCTAAGAAGGAGGGAGGTGCCCCACTCATGGCCGCTGAGCGCCCCGCCTACCCCTGGCTCTCCCCTCCTAGCAGCAGAGCTGCCCTCAGACCTGAGGAACGCTCCCCGACCCTCTCCCTAGGATCGTCCCATACCCTGGGATCCACCCTCTCCCTCCCGCTGTGCGCTGAGAGGTCGTCCTCGTCGTCGAGGGCATCGTCGAGGGCCTCATCTACTTCCTCGTCGTCATGGTCATCACAGTGGTCATGGGGCACTCTGCTCTCCAATGCCTCGGTATCTGAGGCACTGGTGCCACCTGAGGCCTGCCTCCTGCCCTGCACCTACATCCATACCAAAGGTCGGTAGAGAGGCCCCTTGTGTCATATATATGTTACTTTACATAGGTGAATGCCATGGTAACCTATTGCTCTATATAGGTGTCACTGTGACCTGTTGTTCTATATAGGTGAATGCCACTGCGACCTATTGCTCTGTACAGGTGTCATTGCGGCCTGTTGCTCTATACAGGTGAATGCCACTGTGACCTGTTACTCTATGCAGGCGAATGTCACTGTAATCTGTTGGTTCATACAGGTGAATGCCACTGTGACCTGTTGCGTCATACAGGTGAATACCACTGTGACCTGTTGTTTCTTGCAGGTGAGTACCAGTGTGGCCCACTATTGCTTCATACAGGTGAGTACCAGTGTGGCCCACTATTGCTTCATACAGGTGAGTACCAGTGTGCCCCACTATTGCTTCATACAGGTGAGTACCAGTGTGGCCCACTGCTGCTTCATACAGGTGAGTACCAGTGTGGCCCACTATTGCTTCATACAGGTGAGTACCAGTGTGGCCCACTGTTGCTTCATACAGGTGAGTACCAGTGTGGCCCACTGTTGCTTCATACAGGGGAGTACCAGTGTGGCCCATATTGCTTCATACAGGTGAGTACCATGTGTGCCCACTATTGCTTCATACAGGTGAGTACCAGTGTGGCCCACTGTTGCTTCATACAGGTGAGTACCAGTGTAGCCCACTATTGCTTCATACGGTGAGTACCAGTGTGGCCCAATATTGCTTCATACAGGTGAGTACCAGTGTGGCCCAATATTGCTTCATACAGGTGAGTACCAGTGTGGCCCACTATTGCTTCATACAGGTGAGTACCAGTGTGGCCCAATATTGCTTCATACAGGTGAGTACCAGTGTGGCCCACTATTGCTTCATACAGGTGAGTACCAGTGTGGCCCACTGCTGCTTCATACAGGTGAGTACCAGTGTGGCCCACTATTGCTTCATACAGGTGAGTACCAGTGTGGCCCACTGTTGCTTCATACAGGTGAGTACCAGTGTGGCCCACTGTTGCTTTATACAGGCGAGTACCAGTGTGGCCCAATATTGCTTCATACAGGTGAGTACCAGTGTGGCCCACTATTGCTTCATACAGGTGAGTACCAGTGTGGCCCACTGTTGCTTCATACAGGTGAGTACCAGTGTAGCCCACTATTGCTTCATACAGGTGAGTACCAGTGTGGCCCAATATTGCTTCATACAGGTGAGTACCAGTGTGGCCCAATATTGCTTCATACAGGTGAGTACCAGTGTGGCCCACTATTGCTTCATACAGGTGAGTACCAGTGTGGCCCAATATTGCTTCATACAGGTGAGTACCAGTGTGGCCCACTATTGCTTCATACAGGTGAGTACCAGTGTAGCCCACTGTTGCTTCATACAGGTGAGTACCAGTGTAGCCCACTGTTGCTTCATACAGGTGAGTACCAGTGTAGCCCACTGTTGCTTCATACAGGTGAGTACCAGTGTGGCCCACTATTGCTTCATACAGGTGAGTACCAGTGTAGCCCACTGTTGCTTCATACAGGTGAGTACCAGTGTAGCCCACTGTTGCTTCATACAGGTGAGTACCAGTGTAGCCCACTGTTGCTTCATACAGGTGAGTACCAGTGTGGCCCACTATTGCTTCATACAGGTGAGTACCAGTGTAGCCCACTGTTGCTTCATACAGGTGAGTACCAGTGTAGCCCACTGTTGCTTCATACAGGCAGTACCAGTGTGGCCCATATTGCTTCATACAGGAAGTACCAGTGTGGCCCACTATTGCTTCATACAGGTGAGTACCAGTGTGGCCCACTATTGCTTCATACAGGTGAGTACCAGTGTAGCCCACTATTGCTTCATACAGGTGAGTACCAGTGTGGCCCACTATTGCTTCATACAGGTGAGTACCAGTGTGGCCCACTATTGCTTCATACAGGTGAGTACCAGTGTAGCCCACTGTTGCTTCATACAGGCAAGTACCAGTGTGGCCCAATATTGCTTCATACAGGCAAGTACCAGTGTGGCCCACTATTGCTTCATACAGGTGAGTACCAGTGTGGCCCACTATTGCTTCATACAGGTGAGTACCAGTGTGGCCCACTATTGCTTCATACAGGTGAGTACCAGTGTGGCCCACTATTGCTTCATGCAGGTGAGTACCAGTGTAGCCCACTATTGCTTCATACAGGTGAGAAGTCTCCTTCGCCTCTATTGTTCCGTTCAGGAGAACAGCCCTTCACTACCTCCAACAAACTGCTAATCACAGCCTGAATACAACAGGATTATACGTCTCGCTGACCAGATTACAGCAAAACTACATTTGAAATCTATTTCCTATATATTAATACTTTTCTCTAATATATTTAACTTTCAATGTTAAGTATAAGTTATGGATGATGGGAGGCTGTTATCTGCTGTTATCTCAAGTAACAGCCTCTCACAGCTCAACGCTGGCTGCAGAAATCAATACTTGACACACTCCCTCTTCCCCCCCCCCAAGCTACCCAACACACTCCCAGGTCACACTCAAAATGTATCAGGTAACACACTCTTTTCACAAGACACAGTGTGTTCAGGTCACACCCTGCACAGGTCACACTCAATATGTGCAGGTCAGTCTAAACAGGTTACAGTGTATTCAGGTCACACTGTACGGGTCACACTCTATACAAGTCTCGCTCAATTTGTATTGGTGACAGTCTGTATGGGTCATACTCAGTCTATACTAGTCACAATTCATACATGTTGCGTTAAGGAACTAGACAGATACCTAAAGTCAGTACCTGACCAGCCGGACTGTGGTTCCTACGTTGGATTGCGTGCTGCCAGTAGTAACAGCCTGGTTGATCAGACCCTGATCCACCACGAGACCTAGTCAAGGACCGGGTGGAAGGGGCTTTGACCCCCGGAACACCCTCCAGATAGACTCCAGGTACGTAGACACCCAGTCTGGACAGATCACACACTGTACAGGTTCCACTCCATCTATACAAATCACAGCCTGTAATAGGTCACGCTAAGACTGTACAAGTCACACTGTACAGGTTGCACTTTACATGTCACAGTCTGTATAATTCCCTCATTAAGGTCAAGAGAGGCCTGAGCTTGCTACCATCTGCAGCTCATAAGACTGCCATCCCCACGAGCCCCTTTGAGGCGGGGTAGATGGCAGACCAGAGGCCTAGCTTCTCCCTACGAGCCCCGTGAGGGCGGGGAATGTGGCTAGGCCTGGGGACAGTTGGTCCCAAAGATGAGGAGGTACTGTACCTCCTCCCATGGGAGACTTAAGTCTCGAGACACTCCCCAGATAGGGAGCCAAGGCCGGGTCACCACTGCTTGGAAAAGACCCGAGCCGGGAGAATACCGGCGAATAAAAAAAAAAAAAAAAAAAAATCCCTCAGCCTATTCATGCTACACTCAGTTTGTACAGGTCACACTCAATCTGTACAAGTCACAGCCTGTGTAGGTCACTTTTAGCCTGGGTATGTCACACTGAGTCTGCACATGTCACACTGAGTATACAGACGACAGAGTATGCAGGTCACACCGTATACAGGTCTTGCCGGAGTATACAGATTACACTCAGTCTGTGGGCAAGTATACACTAAAGGCGTTTTATTACCTCAGTTTACCACCATTATTCAAACAAGGCAATTACTGTCACACTCTTGTCAACGGGGCGGTGAGGAAGGGGGGGTTAGCCGGTGGTGGATGGGCTGCGGGCAACGTGAGTGTGCGCGGTAGACAGTGGGTGTAGGAGATAGGAATGAGTGGTGGGTGTGGGTGGTGGGCAGTGGGTGTGGGTGGTAGCAGTGGGTGGTGAGTGTGGGTACCAGTGGGTGGTGAGTGTGGATGGTATACATCTGCGTCTAGCCAGCACTTCAAAGAGCAGCTGTTAATAATAGAATTATTCTTGAAAAACTTATCAAACCTCAAGCGAAATATCCTAGTATTTGGTGACTAAGAATTTAGTAAATACTGTAATATCAGACACAACCTCAGGAGCTATTGGGAATAAACACTTACAAAATCGAATTATACATTAGGTTTCAGTAATAAATTCGCCTTAGGCAAGCAGACAGTAGAACCGACCCCTCAAGGAAGGTTCCTTGATGTTGGTGAGGGGCTCTTGATTTAGGGAATTGGATCTGTGCTCCAGTTCCCCGAATTAAGCCTGAATGCCTTCCACATCCCCCCCCAGGCGCTGTATAATCCTCCGGGTTTAGCGCTTCCCCCTTGATTATAATAATAATAATAGTAGAACCGACAAGGCTAGTAAATACGCTCTGGTAAGGGACGTAAGGTGTCAAGGGGAAGACTGAGGCTACAACCTAATCAAGGTTCGGACCTACAAGTACACTCTTTTGGAACAACTGAACAAGATCAGTCATGAAGTAGAACTGAATGAATTTAATTTTAACAATGTGACCATCAACTAGAGCCAAATCTTATTTTTAACATCAATGATTATGTGATTGGAAGGTAATACGACTAACACGACTCTGAACCACCATTTTAGAATGATAAGTTTGTTGACACTTGAAGTATACTCCAGACACATACCTTCACGAAAAAAAAAACATAAATAGATAAAAACAAATAAAAATAGATAAAAACATTAATTCATTCATTCATTAGAGGTTTGCCGGAACTTCCGGCCCGGGTCTTCTCCATATGGTGACCCGGCTGTGGCCCCCGGTTGGGGGTGTCGTTCATCATCTTTCTTCTGTTTTCTTTCTTGCGCCCTCCGGCTGGAGGGTAAGAAGAAGAGACACTTGTGCAGCATTGGGATATCTTTATTTTGGAACCGTTTCGCCAGCCAGTGGATTCTTCAGTCCAGTACAGCGAACGGTGGACTGAAGAATCCACTGGATGGCGAACGTTTCCAGAATAAAGATACCAAAATGTTGCACAAGTCTCTCATATATAAACTTGCCGGTTTTCTAAACAATTTATACGAATACTTCTACATCAGAAAATAACATATATCAGAGTTGCTCAAAGACAGTATCTGTCAGA